GAGAGGAGAGAGAGAGAAGAGAGAGAGAAGAGAGAAGAGAGAGAGAAGAGAGAGAGAAGAGAGAAGAGAGAGAAAGAGAGAAGAGAGAGAGATTCAGGGAATACCATAAACTGTGCTAGATGTCATTTAGATAAATCTGCCCATCTAATCCAAGAAGACTTATCAGTTCCTACAACAGTTGCTTAAGTGTGTGTCATAATAGGTTGCCAGGGAAGTTGTCATAGGCCATGGAGGGAAATCGTTCCCAGTCACCTCCCTCCCTCTGAGCATGTTTTATTTTCTAAGCAAGAGGCTATCATGGGAGACCTTTTGTCTTTATTCTGGGAGGTGGACCCCCCTCCCATGCCCATCAGTTTTGCCATCCCGAGTCAGGATGCCGAGTGCCGGAAGGATGAGTCTTGTGGGACCATAGGCAGTTTCCTGCTTTGGTATTTTGTCATCATACTGATCCTCATGCTCTTCTCTCGGGCTTCCGTCTGGGTAGGGAATCTTTTCACTTTAAATCATGTCTTTATAAGGATTTTCATCAACTACGGTGTCTGTAGGTTGATGAAGATAATTTTTTTAAAGGTTTGTGTTTTCTTTAAAAGAAGTGATTCAGTCTCATGCCAGAGACTCTAAAGTTATTGGAAAGGATAAAGGGCATTGAAAGCACTCTACTCCTTTCTTGTAGGGGTAAATACTGTTAGAGGTACAGAGAACTTCCTTCTAGGCTACTGTTTTTCCTGTTTTTCTCAGTAGATCTCTCTATTGTTGCCCTTGCATAGTCAAACTTATAGTGTGTGTGTTTTCATATCCTGACTTTTGGACTTAATATTCTGTAAATACTTCCCCCATGTTATAGTCACTCAACTTTTCATTATAACTTTTCTGTCTTATGGCTGCACTATAAAAATTCTGCAGTTGGAAATTTAGATTGTTTACATTTTGTCCATATACTATGTAATACTGAGATAAATCTCTCTACTGATTAATGACTTCCAAATCCCACTTATAGCTATGTAATTCTATTACCAAAAATATAAATGTTTGTCACATTGATAGGACACAGGTAGGATTTTGGGAATGGTTAGAATGAAGCAATACATGATCTACATAGAATAAAATACAGAATTAAATTAAGCAGAGCTAAAGTCAGCACTCTTAGTCACAGATTAGCAAAAGAAAATGCTAAAGGGGTAGGAATGGCATAGTCCACTTTATCAAGGCTGTGGCCCTCAACGTATTATGAGCAACCAACCTCTTAAAAATTGCTGACACAGAATCTTCTCTGGCCATTAATAATGGGCTGGTGATTAATCAAGCTACCACCATTTAGTGTTACAGCTAGAGCTCACTGCTGGCAGTGGTCAGCTAGATTGAGTGCTACATTAGTTCTGGATGGAGAAGAGAAGGTTTGTTATTTCGATGCCAGGTAGATTCCATTATAATAATAAAAAACCCTCTTCCCTCTACACCTCCTGGCCAAGAAGTTTTATCTGAAGTTTAAATGCTTCTTAAGGTAAATACTTTGCCAGAAGGAGAATTAGAACAGTGATATGTGTTTTAGACTTCCTGGCTAAGTATATTGAATTTGGCCTGGCAAGAAAAGCTACTTTAGAAAATTAACAAAAAATTGGAATTGATCACTGGCAATTTCATCATGAAGATCATTTAAGAGGTCTAAGCTATTCTTCTGTCCCCTCGCTTACATCAGCAATTTGGAGTTGTAGAGCTATGCATGTGGTCCAGCCTTCTGTCTATAAGCAAGCAAAATACCCATACCTACCCTTCTTTTTTCTTTTTGGGGTTGATAAAGCCCAAAGAATTTAAGTAACGTGTCCAATGTCACACAAGTGGTTAGTGACAGAGTGACAGGAGGAGAATGGATCCAGATTTCCTGCCATATTATTTGTTTACTTCAAAGCTTAGTTTGAAATGTTGAGTTAAATCTATTCAGTGCTGATTAAAACCTTAATTATCCTAGATAGGTTTCATCTTTCGCTTTGTGCCCTCGTGGCAGCTACAGTTGGTTGGCCTGCTTCTGCTGAAGAGTTCCAGATTTGAAATCTGAGAACTGTTTGAGAGCTAGTCAAGGAGGGTAGAATTCTCCCCTTACTTTGAACTTCTTCCTTTTCTCTGTGAAGCTGTGGCATGGCCTCTATCCCCACACTGTAAGGCAGTGTTAAAGAGTGGAGGAGATGTAACAGTCATTCCCCTCCAGCAAGCAACATGCTGATGGGCTCTGATTTGTCTCTTTTTAAAAGATGTGTTTTCCCGTTTGTTTTCAGATGGCAACTACTCTTCTTGTTTAGCATTTATGAAGATTGCTAGTGCTGGCTTTATTTTTCTAGAGGACATTAATCTGAAATCCTTGTTTTTGCATGTGTAGGAACTGAGCTTAGCAGGTGTTGGGTGGCACAGTGAGAGATGGCAGAGCTGGTGTGTGGCAGAAAGCTGGCGTCCAGCCCCTATTTTCTGCCCTTCCCTGCAGAGTAACCACTGTCACTACTTTCCCTCACTAAGTCATATACGTGGGGGCAGTTAATGAAATGCTCATGGCAGCCACAACTCATACAATTCCATTTAGTTTCATGCAAAGTCTTTCGTTCGACTTTTGTGGTTATATTTTGGATTTGACATCCAATATGGAAGCTCTCCGTGGAAATGATTTTATAAACCTAATAAGTGCTTTTAAACACCTTTTTCTCTCAACTACAAAAGTGCATACTACAGAACACAAGATTATAGGAATGCAGAGAAAATGTAACAGACACCATTCCAGGTTATGTGGACATCACCAACTATACTATTAATATCTAGGTTTACAAACATCCAATCTTTCAATAATTCTCTCTATACATGTTAAATTCAAAATATGCACAGAGTCCTAGTACATGTTTTTAAAAATGTGTCTTTAAAAATGATTTCAGTCTCAAGATACTCAGAGAATGGCTACTGTAACAAGAAAAAATACAAGGAAATATCCTATTAGAGGTATAGAGAAAACATTGAGCCAGGGATCCTGAATTTTGCTGCTAGAACTATCAAATTTGTGCCCAGTGTGGCTGCATGCACCTGTAATGCCAGTATTTAGGAGGTGGATGCTGGGGGATCTGGAGGTTCAAGGTCATTTTTGGCTACATAGTTAGTTCCAGGCTAGCTGGGCTATATAAGGTCCTGTCTTTAAAAAGCTAAAACTTTAAAACTAACTAATGTTACACATTCAGGCAGAGCACCTTACAACCTAAGTAAGTTTGACTTTTTTGCACAAATTATATTTCCTAATTGTAGACAATTTGAAAAAAGAAGGAACAAAATTACCATTTTAACCATTTAAAGCTTGCCTTTACTTCATACAGGTTTGTTATATACATATGTCCTTTGAAGTCTTTCCAGGTCGTCAGCTGTCTGGTGGTCACACTGTTACATATAAACTTGCATCTTGATTTTAGCCTAATAATCAAACATTATCTCACAGTATGACATACTCACTTAAGACATTTACAACTGTATCTTACATGATCACATCATAATTCAATTAACCATTATCTACTTTTGAATTTAAGTTCTATGTTATCCTATGTAATATTATACAATATGAATTCTATATATATTATGCCACAATGAGTATTTATTTTTGGTTTTTAGAGACAGGGCTCTCTGTGTAGCCCTGGCTGTAGTGGAACTCACACTGTAGACCAGACTGGTCTTGAACTCAGAGATCCACCTGCTTTCTGAGTGCTGGGACTAAAGGTGTGCACCATCACCACCTGGGAATAATGAGTATTTCTATGTACATGGCTATCAGTGTATGTGGGCTTTTTTGTTTGTTTGTTTGTTTGTTATTTTTGTTTGTTTGTTTTTTGCTTTAGTGTGTGTGTGTGGGGGGAATAACCTCTTGGTAACAGATTCTCTGAGAAAGGCATGGTGACACTTCTATAACCCCAGAATTTAGGAGGCTGAAGCTGGAGAATCCTATGACCAAGGTCAGCCTCTGCTACCTAGTGAGACCTTGTCTCAGAAAAAAGGACAGTGAGTGTTTCTTAAGTCATTCCTGACATTTGTTGCTTTCTACGTGTTACGAGAACATAGAACTTAGTTTATAAGTAGATAATGGCTAATTAAATTATGATGTGATCATATAAGATACAGTTGTAATCCGGGCTGTGGTGGCACATGCCTTTAATCCCAGCACTCCGGAGGCAGAGGCAGGTGGAGCTCAGTGAGTTCAAGGCCAGCCTGGTCTACAGAGTGAGTTCCAGGACAGCCAGGACAACACAGAGAAACCCTATCTCAGAAAAACAAAACAAAACAAAAAACCAATGAAACAAACAAACAGACAAAGAAGACACAGTTGTAAATCTTTTGGTGAAACCATTTTTAGCCTCAGGAAATGGGATGCTAATGCTAATGGGGAGATTGGGGCAAAGGTGTTTGGAATTGGAACTATGCAAAGAAATTTAGCTTTCCTGGTTGCCGTGCTCACAGACAGCATATTCTGGTTGCTTCATTTGAGGAAAGGTGAAAGCTGAAAAACAGTCAAAATCTGCATGGACACAATGGGACTCTGTATGTAGTGTAGCTCAAGTTAGCCTTGAACTCAGGACCTCAGGTGTCAGCCTCAGAGTAGTGAGATTGCAGGAGAGCACTAATCCATTTTTGAGACAGGGTCTCATTATGAAGTCCTCCCTGATCTGGAGCTCATGTGTAGACCAGGCAGGCTTCATACCACAGAAACCCACTGGCCTCTGCCTCCCGAGTGCCGGGATTCAAGATACATGTCATCATGCCCAGCCATCCTGAGTTCTTTGTTTGTTTATTTTTTGTTTTGTTTCTTCAAGACAGGGTTTCTCTGTGGCTTTGTAGGCTGTCCTGGAACTAGCTCTTGTAGACCAGGCTGGCCTCAAACTCACAGAGATGCTCCTGCCTCTGCCTCCCAAGTGCTGTGATTAAAGGTGTGCGCCACCACCACCCAGCTCCACAGTTTTAAGCTGCCATGTGGGCGCTAGGAATTGAACCCAGGTCTTCTGGAAAAGCAGCCAGTGCTCCTAACTACTGAGCCATCTCTCCAGCCCCTCCCCCTGGTCTGTTTTGAAATGAAACTTCTCTGTAATGTAAGTGATGGAAAACTTTATCACACCATGAGTATTATTTTATCTACAGTCTTTGTTCAGATTCACTACTTATTTAACTGGGTTGACTGTTTAAAGTCAGACCTTAGGAAAGAGCCTTGAGCAATGGTGCTGAACAAGTAGACGTTAGTGCAAAGCAACTGACCAAGTTCATCTTACTGTATTCCTGAAACAGATGTCTGAGAGCAAAAGGGATGAAGACAGTGGGACAAGTGCTTCAGTGAGTAGAGGTGAGAGCCGGTGTACTTGGTATCAGACTATGAGGAGAGAAATGTGCTGCTGAGTGTGCAGAGCGAGTAACAGAAGGGAAAAGCAGAAAGAGGCTCCAAGTCCTTACCACACTAGCAAAGGTCACTGGGTGAACTCTTTGCTTCCCTCCTCCCAAGTACAGAGACAGCTCAGCTGCCCCAGCAGAGCCACCACAAACTACAAACTACTGGCAGATAGAAGTCATTTTGTTATCATGTCTCAGGGCTTGCACTTACAAAGCTATGTGAATAGCTGTGTGTCTGTAATATTTATAAAATGTATTGATATGAAGGATTTCTATCCCACGATTTATAAAGAACGAAGTATACAGTACTCCTCGTGTTAAGTTCTCTATAGACTACTGATTTCACACACAGTGCTCTTTTTGATTTTTGCCAGACCCTTGCCTTCCTGGGTCATCTCATAAACTGTGAGTGAGTATAATGTTAGCATAAATGTTATTGCCTCAAAGTTAAGGAATGAAACAGAATCGAGACATAGATGTATGTTGGAACTCAGCTTAGTTGTCTATATGGCTTCTTTGTTGAAGTGAATTGTAGCTTCAGAACACTGGAAGAATATTTTTAAATTTTGGGTTGCTACACTATATAGGTGGCAGCCGCGCCAATCTATGTTAGAAACACATTAGCTACCATTTTCTTAGCCCTGGGCAATCAGTGAAACCATACACTAAGCCCTGATCTTTTTGCTCGTTTCCAGGTAAGTGCTTGCTCCGATGACAGTTTTGAGCTGGCAGCATATTGTCACGGAACAGAGCTGGGGACAGATGTACAATCATACTTTCCACACCCAGATAAACAGCTCTGAGAGCACACAGCATAATAAACTGTAGTAAGATAATTAGGAAATTATGGGCATTAAGTAATTATCACCTTTTCGGTAGATTGATTTAATTGTAAATTTGTGTAATTTGATTAGTAATGATGGTTTACCCATCTCACAAAATTTCCAAAAATGTATTAGGATTTTTGAGCTGGAACGAGCCAGCATCAGCTTAGAAAAGAGCATGAAGAGAAGAGATGTTTCTTGTTGTCCAAATCACTCTCATACACACAGTGCAGTCTTTGAGACTTCAAGACAAAGGGGAAAGCTCCTTCTCTGGGAACCTTTTTCTCTGGAAACCTTCCCATTGGATATCACATTCAGGGGTTACAAAAGTCCAAAAGTGATTTCAATAATCTATGAGACTCCACCAGTCTTTGTGGGATGGGGTACAGTACTAGAAATGTAGTCATTTTGCCAGCATTAGCAGTGATTTGGCTGCCAGTGGTCCCACACAAGTGTCAGGCTTTCTTAGGTAATATGAAGTTGTTAGTCAAGGACCCTTCATTTTGAAAAATTCTAGCAGTTTCCTGAAACCACAGTAATCAACATCCATGACTACATAAAATAACTTACTCCCCTTAGGTTTCTGCCATTGCCTCCCGCTGAAGACCCTGATAATGGCTTGCCATAAGCAATGTTTATGGGTGGTCAGGTGGCTTATTTAGATAGGGTCTTATTACATAACCCTATCTGACTTGGAACTCAACTTTGTAGACCAGCCTAGACTGGCCTTGAACTCACAGAGATCCATCTGCCTAGGAATCTGCCTCCTCATGCTGGCATTAAAGGCATGTCATCATGTCTGACTGAAGTACCTAACATTATTTAACTGATTACTCACAGTTTATGTCAAACAAAGGCCAGCTGCAAACCAAAAACAAACCTTGAAACCTCCTCCCCTGTCGCAGACCCTCTGCCCTGCAACAATGCCAGCTTGTAAGCAGAAGGCAGGCTCTGGTCCTACAGACACCCTCTATAGGGCCCCCAAAACTGCACTCTTAAATGGTTCTTCCCTCGTCTGTCCTTCTCACTGACCTTTCTTTTTGTTTGTTTGTTTGCTGTTTTGTTTTTTGAGACAGGGTTTCTCTGTGTAGTCTTGGCTGTTCTGGAACTCACTCTGTAGACAGGGCTGGCCTTGAACTCACAGAGATCTGCCTGCCTCTGCCTCCCAAGTGCTGGGATTAAAGGTGTGCGCCACCACTGCCTGGGTTTCACAGACTTTTCTCTAGCAACCAATTACTAATGACTTATTGCCTAACTTGTCCATCTGTTTTGTTGGTTAGCAAGCAAAGAAACTTCCTATAAGCGACAAAGTAAAGATGGACCCTGGGACTCCTCACAAGTGATGAAGAAACCAAAGCAGAACCAACTTTCCACGGTAACTGACTCCGAAGTGGCTTTGGTGAATGCCTACCTGGAACAAAGAGGAGGTAGGCGCCATTCCCAGTTCCACCGGGTGAATCAGACCCAGCAAGACAGTGATAGCACTGAGTGTGATAGTGAGGAGTCTAACTCTGGAGCCTCCTCGTGGAAGGAGAGTGAAAGTGAACACCATCCATTGCCCACCAGTATCAAGAGGAGAAAACCAGTGTCAAGGCCAAGAGAGGTGGTAGAAAATTACCAAATCAGAGAAAGGCCCTGCCTGCACTGCAAAGCCATGAGAACCAACGAATGGTTGACACGCCACTTCCCACCAAGCACTTCAGTAACAACCCCCATGAAGGGAGAGATTCAAGAGGAGAATTTGACACCTAGCATCAACACAAAATTAAGTAAATTTTGAATTTTGGCATCCTTACCTTACTTGAAGTCAAAAGAAGGAGATGAATAAAACGTGTGGGTGAGGAGACATTTACAATAAAGCCTCTTTGCTAACAGCGAAAGTATAATTGGAACTCAAGAGGTCAAATTTCAGACAAATTCATTGTTCAAAACAAGGGCAGAGAATTTTTTCATGCCACCACAGCAGCACAGAAGACTTGTATCTTCTATGATCTTTTTTTTTTTTTTTTTTTTTTTTTTTTTTTTTTTTTTAAGTCAAAAGAGCCCAGGGCAGATAGTCCATACCCAAGGGTATGTATTTTGTTTATGTCAATGATAAAAATACGAAAGCTCTTTGAAAATATATTTATGTTGAGAAACCATTTAAATCTATTCATATGTTCTGATTATCTGACTGGCTTAACAAATGAGGTGACTAAGTGGACCAGATGATTTTTTTTTTTTAATAGCTGAGATGACTCTACCAGAGCTGTATTGATTGATGTACCGAGTCCACTAAGGGCTGTTGAGAAAAAGGAGGAGCTAAGGGCCCGGAATCCAACCTTATTTCTAGAGTACATTAGGGAGAAGACAGGACGTTAGAGTACATCAGGGGACTCAGAAGGCAGCTGGGTGGTGGCTTGTCCTCGGTTGTTGTCCCAAGACCACGTCAAGTGTTAAAGCTTTTTTCCTGACACTTGTTAAGATAAGGAGAACTTTTTTTATTTGGTACTATTACAATAGAGATCAACAAAGAAGCTACATAGAAATGAAAGCCTACTACAAGATAAGTGATTTATAGCCAAGGAGAAGGGTGAGGAGGGTCATTGGCTGGAAACTACTAAAAGAGGATAATGGATAATCCCTTCTCCATTTACCTAACCCCATTTTTTTTTTTTTTTTTTTGAGACACGCTCTTACTAGGTAGCCTTGACTGGCCTGGAACTCATTATATAGGTCAGGATGGCCTCAAAGTCACAGAGATCTGCCTGCCTCAGCAACCTGGTACTGGGTTTAATGGTTTGGGCCACCACATCAGGCCTCTAACATGATTCATGGTGAAGGTGGGACTTAACCATCTCAAGTATGGTCAACTATCAACCTAACAGGATTCTTGCTAAAACAGCTCGGTAGGTCAGACAGAACAGGACCAAAGCTGGAGCCTGGTCAAAGGAGGACTCAGAAGAGCCTGTCTGAAGCTTGGTAGATGAGAGGACCTATAACACAAATAGCTGAAATCTAGGCAAGCTTCGGACTAGATTTTTTTCATTTAAGTTGGGGAACCTAGCAATGAAGGGTTCAAGGCTAGGATGGGTGGGTGGCCTTTCTGTGGACTTTCCAGGTAACTGGCAGTCACCCAACTGTGTTATAAAACAAGGTCCAGATCCTAGAGAGGGCTGGCAAGGATAAGAAAATGTGACATGGACTCTGGTCATGGGGCTAGAGTTCAAACAAGGGTGTAGGCCTTGGAGAAGGACTTGATTACCATTTATGGTGGATTATGTAGCCGGATACTAAGGACTCAGGCTTTCATAAAGGGGCAGGGAAAACACTAGCATAGAGAACAGACAGCTATGACTTTGGACCCAGGATTCACCTTGGCAAGAGCTGATTCCTTAACTAATTCTAACAAAGACTCTGGAACCAATGTAGACATCTGAAGCACTGTGCAAACATTAACAGAAAACAGAGAATTGCTCCGGAAGAGTACATGCATAACATACATGACGCTCTGGGCTCCATCCCCTGTGCTGCATGAACCAGGTATGAAGGTGCATGCCTGTGATCCCACCACCAGTGAGGTAGAGGCAAGAGAATCAGGAGTTCAAGAGCAGCCTGGGATATAGGAGACCCTGACTTAAAACAACACTAAATAGAGGTGGGAGGCTATCTAAGGAGAAAGTTGCCCCAAACCAAATGGATGAGACATAGATGTGGTTAGATACGGAAGAAGAGCATAGACATCTAGGTTGAGACTAGATTAAAGAATACAGTGAAGAATTGGTGAAGAGGGAGATTGCTCGCGAAACTGAGGCTGCAAGTGCTGGCCATAGCTGGACAGTGCCTTCGTGCAAAGCCCAGTGTCACTCTCAGGGTGGAACTCCAGGCCAGCAGGACAGTCCCGTCAAAGCCTGTCACCTGTTGGCTGGCTGGCTGGCTTGAGGGAAGGTTCGTCTCCATTTGGTGATTCATCCCTGCTAAGTTTCAGAAGTGACCTTGGTTAACAGCTGCATCAAGGATCACAACTCTTACCAGGAACTGAGAGGCAGGGAAGCAGGAAAGGTTCTGACTGAAATGGAAGTGGCAAAGGAGGTCATGTATACATGGGGGGGGGGGAGCAGGGGACTCGGATTACCGGATTACCGAGTGGTCAGTCTCAATCTCTGCTTGCCAGATTGGGTGATGTGGCTTTGCTTGGCGCCAGGAGGCCTGTCAGGGTGGCAGGGAAGCAGCCTGAAGGGTTCCTTTAATGTTTTGCGGCCTTGACTCAGGTAAGACCAGACCCTTCAACTTGAGGAAAGAATTGAAGGGGAAGCCGAATGAAGCAGAGTTGGAGTTTAGTGAAAAATAGGGGACTGGCCTGCCTGCCTCACCTCAGAGTGTGGGGATGGGCTTCCAGGCAAGAGTTGCACTTATGACGACGTGTCTTAGCATGAACCCTATTAACCACTGTGGCTCTGAAGTTAAAACTCTAAGGGCTGCTAAGGGACCGACATGTTCTGTCTTATTAAAGGTGATGCCTTAGATATAATCTTTTAAGATAAAACCCAGAGCCACTGGGGCTATCCAAGGGGCTCAGGATATATATTTTACTATAAGTGGGTTTCTAGTGAGATTCCTAGAGAATAATAGGTTTGAAGAATAGAAAGGAGAAAGGCCTTAAGCAAATATTAATTAGAGTTCTTCTCATCTGGTCAAGATTACAGACTCCTAGGTGAGGGTTTTTTGTTTTTTTTTTTTTTTCTGCTCATGTCCACATGATTTTCTCTCTCTTCCGGTCCTACTTAGGGGTAAATCTAGGTAACAGAAACATAATAATGTTGTTACTGGGGTACATTTAGAGAATGCTTGCTTCATTTCAGACACAAGTAAGCATTTATAAAAACCATTTTTCACAAATCTCCAAGATAGGTATTATTCCAACCTGGCAGATGATGAAACTGAGGCAAAGGGAAAGGTCAGACAGTTGATAAGACTCGAGATCTGGGTTGGGGGTCATATCTAACCACAGACATGGTCTCCCCATTTTGTTTTTGACCTTTACTTGTGTGTGTGTGTGTGTGTGTGTGTGTGTGTGTGTGTGTGTCTGAGCACATGTCACTGTGCACATGTGGGAATCAGAGGACAGCTTGCTGGAGTCTGTTCTCTCCTTCCACCATGTGGGTCCAGGGACTGAACCTAGTCTACCAGGCTTGGTAACGAGTGCCTTTACCCTTTGAGCCATCTTACCTGCCCTTATCCATGTTCTTCTTCTCAAAGACTTTTTAATTGTATGTGTACAAATGTTTTGCCTGAATGTTGGTGCCCACAGAGATGGGAAGAGGGCCGAATTATGGATAGTTGTGAGCCACCCTATGGGTGCTGGGAATTGACTCTAGGTCCTCTGCAAGAGTTACAAGTGCTCTGGTCCACCACTCTGGAACTCACAGAGCTGCCTCTCCAGCTCTATTACTTACTGGTTCTTGTGGTTTGAGATAGGGTCTCACTGTGCAACCCTGGATGGCCTTGAACTCAGACATCTGCCTACCACAGGCTCCTGAGCACCGGGATTAAAGGCCTTTGCCACCATACCTGTCTTCTGCTGTGAAACTCTGGCACACCAAATAACAAATACAAATTAGAGGACTGTTGGTGGAAAATATAGCCAGGAGTCAGAAACTGAATAGAGGTGAGCACAGTTCTAAGGGAGTTGGGGGCTCACCTCTTTGGTGGAAGAACTCACAGCTCCTACTTGCCTCGGCTTCTATGAGAAAGACAAGAGGAGGAAGGCCTATAAAGGTTGAGCTGGAAGCGGTGGGAGGCTGGAAATAGCAAGAGGCAGCAAGCAGGGACTAGAACAGTGAGGATCTGAGAGGAGGAGAATGAGAGGCTCTGGTTTAGAGGGGTAATTAGTAAGGGACCCTAATCCATCCCAGAGCAAGGAGGCTGCTGAAGGCAGCACAGCCACTCCTCAAGAAAACCAGATAACAACTGCAGACTTGCACACAGCCAGCGGCCTCTTCTCCTGGGAAGGAATGCGCTTATCTCCCAGTGTTTCCTAGAAGGGTGATTTCAAAACTGCTACCCTTTATCATCATCACTCTAATCTGTGGCTCCGTGGTTTGTGGACAACCACCACAGATACTAAATGTTGGTATTTTTATTGTTTTGGGTTTCTTCTTTTGTTTGTTTGTTTTTCAAGACAGGATTCTCTGTGTAGCTCTGACTGTCCTGGAACTCACTCTTTATATCAGGCTGGCCTGGAACTCAGAGAGTAGTACACCAGAACTGGCTGGCTAATTATTAATTTCTTACTGTGTCTGATTTATAAATGAAACAGCTTCACTCCTCCTCCTCCTCCTCCTCCTCCTCCTCCTCCTCCTCCTCCTCCTCCTCTTTTTCAAGAAAATAGGACTACCCAGTACAGAGTGAATGGGGACAATAACAACTGCCAAACAGACTCTTTGTTTTTCTCCAGCACTACAGATAGAACCAAGGTCTTGTGCATGCTCAACAAGGGCTCTACCTAAATTAAATTTTATTATAGGCACCCCCCCACACACACACATGAAAAATCATGTATGCACACATTTTAGTGCCCTCTGGTTTCCATGCTCTCTGGAAACAGTCCCTCTTGGTAAGGGTGGGGGCTGTTGAAATTGGTAGTGAAATCAGTGGTTGTAACAAATATATCAAAAAATAATAGAGGGCAGCAAAATTGTTTCAGGAGAATTGTTTCTGTTTCAAGGTACATGAGCTGAGTTTCAGTCCAAGACATGTTTCTTCCTATGTTAAGGTAAAAAACAAGACGTAAGGCTGGATGGGAGTTTTCTTCAGAGGTTTTCCCTGATTATGCAGCCACACCACTAAGTTAGTGAAAAAAAATTGTCCCTCCATGCATTCCAGATTTGCCACATGCTAGTAATTAGTAAATCTTCACCATACTGCAGGACGGACCCACTGTTTAGCTCAGTGAAAAGCGTGAATTGAA